GTGTTATGTTTCCAATGAGATGAACTTACTGGTGCTGTTGTCACAGTCACGGGTCAGTGTAACGACCGAGGCGCAGACATCGCGGCACTGCATGGGGACATCGTCGTTGTCGACATCCTGAGCAAGACCGATGGCGGAAAGGGCAAAGACGATGGCGAGCTTCTGGAAGTGCATGTTTGCGGTAGGTAGTAATCTCAAGCGAGAGTTGTAAAGTTTGATTGGTGTTGTATTGTTGTGGAGTAGTGAAGACTGTGGTTTGCGATGCTGATGATGTCCTCCATCGTGGGAAGTATCAGGGAACTATATACTTCAAAAACTGCTCGCGTGCCTACTTTCCCTTCTGAGACGGCTAGCCCTCCGCATCCAATCAAACATTCCCCTTCCTCGCACAGGGCTGACATCACATCGCTCGCGGTGATTACGTCTGACAGCAGGCTCCGCCCTGCGCCCCGCCATCTATCGGTCCGTCGTCGGTTATCACAGGTGGGCGTTGTCCATGGGGAATGTGGATTGGCGCCGGGGATCAAGGTCTTGTGTCAAGGCGCCCAAGCATGAAGTCAGATGCAGTGCCAAGCGCCCAGCAACGACGGAGCCTTGGCGAATGAGGTTTATTGGGTTATTCATGTAGGACGATCGTCTTGCGTCGCACGCAGCACTGCCTGCCGCGACGCAACAGCCACGGCAGACAACACACATGCCTACGCGTAGCCAAGTACTCAAGATTCAAGTGTATGTCTAAAGTTACACTGAGTACTAAAAAAGCAAGTTGTGGCATCTTCTTCCATGTTCTTCGACAAAAGTGGACCTTGGCCACCCATCAATCATGAAAATGCGGAGAAACTTGGGGACCGCTGATAAGTGATCAGTGCGAAAACATGAGGTCACATTAATGTGGGTTGAGTCAGGCAGTTGTCTAACCAAGGAAAATCTCCCCGCTTCACTTGCCTTACCCATTGAAACGTCTAGATTTGATTTGAGCATGCTTTACACCAAGCTCTGCGGATGTTCCTGCCAAGCATGAGCCAAGTTAGCAATGGACACACTCGCTTGCACCGCCATCGATTACGTGGTGGGTTGTCGCAAGTCAGATGAGGCTGTTGGTGGTATGAGTGAAGTTGTTTCTATCTTTGTAGCAAACATGCATAGATCCGCGCGCGGGAAGTCTTGGTTCGGATAGAAGCGGAGTAAACATGTGTTGAAATACCGAGATGTATAAATGGGAGATGGTATCTTTATGCGCCGCTATGCTATACGCCATGCTTATATGAAACGGACAGAAATGTCAAACTTCGATCCGTGCCGACAACTCAACGCTAACACGCGATGACAAATGCTTCGAAGCGTTAACTCAGAGAAAAATCAGGATGATGTGCGCCAAAATGCCATGCTATGATTTGCAGGGTCAGGGGTGGTGCATGCCGCACGTAGGAATGACAGGAAATGCAGATGCTGCAGACTTTGCTCTGCCGAAGGCTGAGAGATTGAACGATAGCACTGCTGGACGTGGATTTGGGGCTTTGCGAGTGGCAGTCCCCCAGCCAGGAAAGGTCTTTGATAATTCCCCAGATAGAAGATAAAAGTTGGGCAGCGGGATGGTCCGGGATTGTCCGCGAAGCTTGGGACTTCACGAAACGATGTCGGGTGCTTTACCGCTGGGCGTTATGGGGCGGGACCCAGAGACAAAGCCCCGCGAACCCTTTCTAGGCTCTGGCTTAACAGGGACTCGCATAGCGTCCTCTGGCTTCAACTCGCCAGTAAGCCATTGACCCATATGTGTCTGCCATCTCCTGGGGTCGTCCGCTTTCGTTGCTTCCCTTAACCTCCTATGCCGCACTAGCCTCTCCGCTACCTGTTGCAGAACAATCTTAGGAGGCTGGTACTCGGTCAGGCCTCCTGGGCTGGCGATCGTATTCCTCTCAAGATATGCCTCCGTTGCTTGCTCCATAGTGGAAAGCGTTTTACCTCCGGGAACCTCTTTCCTTTCATTCGTTTGCGGATTGGTCCATTGTCCCTTCTCCCAGCTGTCAAGCGGTAGGCCTTCAAGCCCCTTGTCGACGTTGAGGCGCTTGTACCATCGATGTTCTCCCTTGGCTATTGTACGCATCATCTTATGACGATCCTCACCTTCGGTGTATTTGATCAAGACGTTCTTGAAAACAGCCAGCTTCTCACTCCACTTCTGCAGCGCCTTGACCTTGCCTAATGGGCCAGGCCAAACCGCCGCGAATCCGTCATTTGTGGTATCTGGGCGTCCTGTCCCGATAGAAAGCAACAAGCCTGGCTCTTTATCATCACCGTTCAGCGAAGCGTGCTCACTATAAGCAGCATACGAGGGGTTGTTTTCGCGAATTCCTCCATCTTTGAAGCTCACTCGCTTTCTGTTTCTCCCGCTGCCGATCTCGGCGGTGAGCATCTCAAAGTAGAAAGGAGCTGCAGAAGTAGCTCGTGTCACCTGCCATATCTTCAATTTGTCGGCACCGGCATTGTAGTTTGTAACCCAGGGTGGAGCGATATCGGGATCGTATTGGTGGTTGTATGAGCGGAGAAGGTGTGCTTCGTCGATTTGTCCGGAGTGGGTGGCAGTCAGACAAATACTGGGTATGGTTAGTAAAGCGTGAAAATGATAGAGTCAACAAGACCGCAGGAACAGTCTTGTAGTAGGCTGACCTTGTCGAGGACACATAGATGGGGGAACTTACGATTGACATATCCGCTCTGTTGGCCTGCCTCTGATTGACGGCTCACCACCACTTGACCAGGTAGTCGAGCTTTGTAACGAGCCTGTACCTGGTTCGTTGACCGTCGCTTGCACTGGAGCGCTCTCCTCCTCTAGAACCCATGGGTGCCAATCATCTCCTGTACAGTGGTCGTGCTCCTTGCAGTATTGCCTGACGATATCTTGCACGGCTTTCTCTAATGGCTTGTGATGGTATTTGGTAGCCAGAGGCAGCACACTCCTCCTGTGTCCAAACAGCTCGTGTCCTACTTTACGGTATAGTTCGAGGCATTGTGGTACGCTCATACGCAACCTAGCCAGCATGACGGAGATGAGTCCGCCCGTACTGGTTCCGTACATGAAGTCGAAGTAATGACATGGCAGTAGTTCGTCTTCGTTGAATTCGCGTCGTTCGCTGCCCTCTACAGGGCCTTCTTGTGTTTGTAACCGGCGTTCGCATATTGCAATTTCGTGCATGAGGCGTTGGATAATCAGGAGGCTTGAGTAGCCACGGATGCCACCTCCATCTATCGAACATGTTAGTATTTGCTACAAGTGCCATCAAATGCTACAAATCCCTCCGCGATCGACCATGCAGGTTTAAGCACTCGTACCGTTGCGCGCATCCAATGCGCTACGTCCATGTCCACCTGGACCCTTCTCCACATGGCGGAACAACTTCACATACCTAGCGTGAGTATCAAGTCCTCCCAGCAGTTGTCCTTGGTAACGTTCATCTTCCAGGCTTCTCCAGTTTTGTCCTGCACCGTGGCACTGGTGCCCGTCGTCCTTATACTGAGCGGCCGCGAGACCGGCTCCGGTGGTTGCAACATGTCGGCGCGCTTGCTGTGTACTTGATGGAGGTTTGGGACCTAAGGTATGCAGCCTTGCACAAATCGCGCACTTCTGATCAGGCCGGAAACAAAAGGAGGTAACGGATCGACGCAGGTTGCAGTGGATATAAGGCTGCCGAGAGCCTCATGACAGCTTTGGCGCGTTCCTGCAAAGCGCGCGACGGTCTGCACGCTGGTGGATGGGTGGGTCGCGGGAGTGGCTGACTCTGCCGCTAGCGAATGGAGTCTGGGGTCGTGACGAATTAGGACGACGGAATTGCGACAGAGCCACTGCTAAGCCTCTGGGGTCCAATAAAGCGTGGAGGCTTGTCTCTGATCTCATTGTGACCTTGGGAATTCTTTATGTTGAAGTGGTCAGGGGGTGACGGGTTTGTGTGACGCAGGGAATAGAATGATGAGGTCAGCCCGTTTTCCCGCAATCCTACCCAGAATTTGGGAGCCGACAACAACCACGGTGAGAGTTTATCAGTAGCCGGTCTGCTTGCTATACAGGCATACTATTTCGCGTTGTTGCCTATGTGGAGCTGAAATGCAGGGCTGTACACGAGCAGGCAGAAAGGCTAACATGTTCCGCGACGCAGTCCTCCTCGAGCAAACTCGAGACGCCAGGGGGTCGCAACTGAATCCAGAGTGACGCCTGCTTGTGATACTGACGATGGCCAAGCGGGTCTGCCGGACTGCGTAGTGAGAGCGAATTTTGGCCGATATATGGTCACATGAATGGCGTTCATGGGTTACAGACTTGCAGGTGATGCGCTTGATAATCTCTCGCAATATCGCTGTTACAAGTATGAAAAAAATATGTCATGAAATACCACGATGAGTCAAATGGTCTCTTTTCGACTGATGGAAGGTTGTGGGCATGTTCGGCATACTGACGGGCCTCGCTTTTAGTCCGTAGCCGGCTCTGCCCATGGTTGACCAGGGTTCCTCAGAGACAGGGCTTTCTGGCTCATGTTGGGCGAGACGGGACAGAACTCAAACGAGCTGTACCTGACTGAAAGACTAAAGTGTTTGAATGTTTGGAACAGGAACGTTGCCGTTGCGCACTTGGGCCAATCACGGTAGTTGACGGCACAGCCGCATCGTGAACCAATCAACGAGTAAATCGGCCGGGAGCGACATCATACCATCAGCCACGCTAGGGGGCGCAGCCCGTGGTGTGACGCTGCTGGAAGGCTCGACGCTCTCTCACGACCCAGACCGTCACTCCACCTGCACCTTCACACCATTTTTTCCTCACGCGACTGACCGGCGCCTACGCCTATACAAAGCACATTCCACCAGTTTGTAGGACCACAAACAACAACCGAGACAAGCACCAGATTCCTTTCGCTACCCATCCTTCATCCTTCTCTGCCCACCGGAGCCCTATTCTCGCCTGTTGCGACATCTCAGCCTCACCTTCTCAGTACAGAAGCGAAGGAATAATGCAGGAAAGCACGACCTTCAAGTCGGATTCGACGTCTGGCTCAGCGTCCAGTAAATCGAGTGTCCTGTTCGATTTGGATGCAGGCGGCCACAAGTCTATCCTTGTGTACAAGTATCGTTCGGGCGCAAAGGGTCTAGAGATCAAGACAGAGGCCGACCTTTGCAGTGAACTTGACCAAGGTACGTTTCTTTCTGCCTGCTGATTTGGCCCCAACTAAGGCAGCGCCCAGACCCGTCATTACCCTTCATACGCGTCACCAAGAAGCCTATACCGCGCGGCAACAGTCGGCTTGACATACTCAACGAAGATCTGCTCGCTCCGTTGGAGCGTGAAAAATACGCAGAGAAGCCTACCCTCAAGGCTTCCGTCGCAAATGTGGGACTGCCCACGCTCGCGAAATGGAAGCACATGATACTAGGGAGTTACGAGGACCTATACATCGTCTCGCGGTCGCATACGCCCTCGCCTGAGGCCAGCAAGACCAACAGTCCAGAGTCAAGTCAGCATGTCACGCCTGCGCATACCTTCCCTAACGAAGCGTTGCATAGTTCGGGTGCGTAGGTGTGAATGCCATCACACACAAAACTACACGCTACCTATACGATCATACGTTTTCTGTCTGTCATTACGCGATACCCATGGAGCTCGGCGCCGGATGGAGTTTACCTTGTTATTATATCCCTTGAGTCGTCTCATGTCCGTCTGTCGCTTTAGGATAGAGAAAGGTCATGCTGCGCGATATCGAGTCGGCAGTATGTAACTCTCAATACGAAACCACTATAGATACTAGCTGTGCTGGTCATCCTAAGTTATATGCATCGTGCCGTGTGAACCTCTTAGTCCAGAGCTGCTGTGTGCTTGCGCATCCAATGTCGCGTTCCCAACAGATGTAGAGGAGCAATATCATGAAGAAACAAGAGACCCCTGTCTGATAACACCAGTTCATGCCGAGGAAGGAGCCGCTGCACCAGGATCGGTTGTCGCCAAACCAACGTCATCACAGACGTGATTCGCCAATGTAGTGGTCGCAAGAATGACTGCAGGGAAGATATGTAAAGCTTTTCTCCCCGTGTTGCAGCGACAGGAAGCGAAGGAGCATACTGCCTGCATTGTTTGTATACACGTGGGTGGCATCGGACCTTCTAAATGGCTGGGCGCAACGGCAGACCCATCTACGGCTCGTCCAGACGACACTAAGGGACGGCGCTCCACCCAAGTCTGCACATGCAAGCGGGGAGCTTCACTCTTGGGCCCGGTCTTGTTGCGCTGGGGCCCTGCATCAACTTCTGAAGCTTCCCTCGTGAGCCCATATTGCTGACAACCATTCTTCCACGCCCATAACATCCCAATCCAACGGCTCGAGGTCTGCAATTATCCTCGTTCGCCCGACATGAGGTTCGTAATCCCAGCAATGCAGCCATGCACGCGTCGCCCAATCGTCGCACAGCGCGGATGATGTCAACGGAAACTAATGCGCGTTCGCAGGTTTGGTCAGCAGCTCAAGCAGTCGCTCAACAAGGAGTGGATCTTCTACTACATCGACTATGAGAACCTAAAGAACTCGCTGCGCGTCCACCACATCTGGGACGAGAAGTCGGAGCAGAGCTTCGTCGAGCAGCTCGAGAAGGAGCTCGACAAGGTCTACACGTTCCAGCGCGTCAAGGCCGAGGAAATTATCCGTCGCATAGCAGCCTCTGAGAAGGAAGTCAACGATGCCGTCGCGCGCGCCCAGCAGGAGCCCCAAAACAGCGACAACTTCGAGGAAGATTTCGACTTGTTAGAGGAGGACCTGAGCGATATCATCGCCGATGTCCACGACCTCGCCAAGTTCACGCAGCTCAACTACACGGGCTTCCAGAAGATTATCAAGAAGCACGACGTACGTATTGAAACAATTGGCATGTTACAAGGCTAATTGCATGCAGAAAAATACCAGCTGGTTCCTCAAGCCCGTCTTCGCCGCCCGTCTGAAGCGCAAGCCCTTCTTCCAGGACAACTACGACTCCTACGTGGTCAAGCTATCACGACTCTATGACATCGTCCGCACCCGAGGAAATCCCGTCAAGGGCGACGCTTCCGCCGGAGGAAAACAACAAAACTTCGTGCGCCAGACAACCAAATACTGGGTGCACCCCGATAACATCCTGGAGCTGAAGCTTATCGTCCTCAAGCACCTGCCTGTGCTCGTCTTCAACCCCAACAAAGAGTTCAACGAGGAGGACTCCGCCATCACATCCATCTACTTCGACAACACCGACACATGGGAGCTATACCAGGGCCGTCTGAAGAAGACGGAGGGTGCAGAGGCTATTCGTCTGCGATGGTATGGAGGCATGTCTAGCGACACCATCTTCATTGAGCGCAAGACGCATCGTGAGGACTGGACAGGCGAGGAGTCTGTCAAGGCGCGTTTCAAGCTCAAGGAGAAGAACGTCAACGCATACCTCCGTGGTGAACTCAGGCCTGAGCAGATCTTCGAGAAGGAGCGTAGGGAGCAGAAGAGGCCTGAAAAGGACATCGCTTCTGACGAGCAACTGGCCCGAGAGATCCAGTACCGCGTACTGACCCGCAAGCTCGAACCCGTTACGCGATCTTTCTACCACCGTACCGCTTTCCAACTTCCCGGCGATGCTCGCGTCCGTATCTCCCTAGACACCGAGCTTACCATGACCCGCGAGGACAATCTGGATGGCAAGAGGCGCGCTGGTGACAACTGGCGCCGCACGGATATCGGTGTGGACTGGCCTTTCAAGCAGTTGCCTAAGGAGGACAAGGAGCTCTTCCCTTACGCCGTTCTAGAGGTCAAACTTCAGACACAAGCTGGAGGAGAGCCGCCTCAGTGGATCCGTGACCTCACGTCTTCCCATCTCGTCGAAGCCGTACCCAAGTTCTCCAAGTACATTCACGGCACTGCCACGCTCAACCCCAAGCGCATCAACTTGATCCCATACTGGTACCCACAGATGGATGTTGACATCCGCAAGCCTGTTACCCACAAGTTCGGTATTGAGCGCCCTGGAGCAAGCAACGATATTAGCACCAGCGGTAACCTGGACGACGACGATAGCGAAGACGAGGATGCCGTCATGGGTCTGCCCGCAGCTAACGGCAACGAGGATGACGACAGAATGAGGAGGCTTCGCGACGCAAGGGACGTCATGGAGCAGAATGAGATGGAACGAAGCCGCGATTACGGCACTCTTACGAATGGCAACGATCCCAATGCGCTCGATATTGAAGAGCGTGTCGCCGCTGGACGCACTCGCGACGAGGACTACCCCATCTACGATTCTGACAGCGACGATGATGACGAGGAGTTTGAAGCTGCCAAGCGACAAGGAGGTCTCCGCTATGCAAAGAAATGGGTAGAGCGCACCGCTACCAACGTGGGCTCTACGGTTCTCTCGAGTGTTGCAGCAATAATCCCCAAGCCAACACCAACCGACGTTGGTGAGGGAGGCTTCTCCCTTGGCGTACCCTCATGGAAACAGAAGGGCGAAGTCAAGCGCTTCAAGGCACCGAAGGGCAAGCGTAAGTTGTTCCGATCATGCCACCTCCAGCCTGTACTAACATCATAATAGGTATTCACGTCCCTGTCCGTGTCGAACCCAAGGTCCAGTTGGCAACCGAGCGTACTTTCCTCTCGTGGCTGGAATTCTCCATCCTCATCGGTTCCATCGCCGCTACGTTGCTCAACTTTGGTGATAGCTTGGCCTTTGCAGCTGCTTGGGCGTTCACCATCATCGCTTGTCTTGCGCTGTGCTATAGTGCAGGCTTGTACTTGTGGAGAGTGAACAAGATCAAGGAGAGGAGAGCGGTCACATATCACGATCGTTGGGGACCGACGTTGCTTTGCTTGGGATTGTTCTGCGCCATAGCGATCAGTTTCGGGTACAGGATTGGAAAGGGTGGTGTTGAGGGTGGATTGAAGGGAGATATTAAGGGTTGAGCACGTCGTGAGGTGGACATGGACTCGCGGAAGATGGAATTCGATGTTTTTGAACTTGTCATGACTGACGTTTCGAAGCTGATGTTCGTATGGGAGGGATGCATAATTGGCGTTACGTGTACATAAAACTGTACATAATAATGGGTATTGTTGTACTATTGATTACTTCTGTAGGTTGTTGCAGCGTTCTAATCTGGTGATGTTCATGGTGTCAGTGATGCGGAGATATGAGCTATGGACACGCGCTCGCTAGCCGAGAGGAGATGCGTATAAATTACTGTCTTCCAGAGGTCTGCTTCCCTTCTTCCATTACACTCTGGTTCTTCCCTTCCTAAAACGACAAAAAAAAAGGAAAAAGACTCTTCCATGTCTGTCTCGCTTTCCCAAAAACATTGATATTACCGTACCATGGCTGAAATTGGCATCTTTTAAACTTCGAAAACATGGAAGCAAAGATGCCCATGAAGAAGCCTCATATTCCTCCTTTCACTATGATAGAGCGACATCAAAAACGAACTCACATCATTTATGGGGAGCGTAAAGAAGGACAGGTCAACTCAAACATTTGGGGGACGCATAAGATCCCACAAAAACGACTCTTTTCTCCGCTTACTACTCGCATTCTCACATTACGATTACCATATTGTCTTTACCTCTAAAACGTCAAGCAACAAATTGTATGTCCGCCTGATTGAAAATTGGAGAAAACGTCGAAATGTTTCTTTGTGAGCTCTCGGACTCAGAAAACGGTTAGCAGGATCATCACATACAGTTCTCTTACTATCTTACTCATGATACAAAACGTCAAGTCGAACACAGTCAAAAAGTATGGCTGTGTCTTTTCCAAAAGCCACCGAGTGGCTTGCCATGTTCGAGTGGTCATCTAATCGTTTCTTTCAAACATGCCAGCAGAAAAGCCTCAAGCTAGCCGTAGGATGTTGCTATGTACATTCAGTGCTTCAAAAGGAGTGTTGATTACACATGGATCCATATGTGCACCTGCATATCCGGCAAAGGCGGGAACATGCGGAGCAAGATCCCATACACGACCAAGTGTGCTGCATGCAGAGTACTCGAAAAGCATCTGGCTTTCTGTTCGAGACGTCGGAGTTCTCTCGAAAGGGAACAAGCTGAAATCGGCAACGAGTGTGCGCATGAAGTGGGCGATAGAGCGCTATTGACACGTTACTTGCATTTCTATAACCTTTACCCAAGGGTATTATGACATGCGCTCCTCTTTAAATCTTGAATCAAAGAATATGAGTTCAAATCCAGCTGCCAGGAACAATATGATACCAAGACCACGGAATGACCAAATCAAAACGCTAAAACAGCATGTGCACTATCGATGAGAAGCCGATCGTAATCAATGACATTAAACCATTACTATCCCTCGGTCCTAACTACGCCAGTGGAAGCTCTGATATCGAACTCGACCCATCTTGCTCTTCCTTCTCGCCTCCCTCTCCCGCCACTTTCATCTATACTTCCTGGGTTCATGACTGTACAGCCAAAGTACTTGACTACAAATGCCGGTGCCTCGCTATCCGCGAGCACCAGACTCGTCGGCAACGGGTAGAGATTCATTGTGTGTGCGAAATCCCAGTGTAATGGCCGTGCCGAGAGCGGGAAGGGGCTTAAATGCGATTGTGAGAGTATGGTTCGGGTGAGCGCGCGCGCTGTTTGTGTTTCGATATCAACATCTGATTGCTGCTGCTGCTGTTGTCGGGCTGGCGGCGGCCTGAGGTCAAGATCCATGGCGTCCTGCTGTTCTGCTTCTTGTTGTTGATGACTCGGCGCGTATGGCATATCGTCATCTACATCCGGAGGTGGCTTGTTGAATCGTATCGATTGTCTTTGCAGTCTTCCGGCCACATCATCCCTCAGTATTGCCATCTCGCCCTTCACGCCGAACCACGTCAGGCGCGAGGGGTTGGATGTCCAGATTACTTCCCCTTCTTTTCCCTTTGCTTTGCCGGCACCCCATATTTCTCTGTTCGCCTCAGCAACGACCTTTCTGATCCTGCTTGTGAACATTGTTGGAATGGGTTTCCTCGGTAATGGCGTAGCGGCACCGGCGGAGAACGCACTCGGCCAGGCGTCGTTGTCGCCGGGAACGAATACAAGTGTAGTATGTGCGATGAGAGTTTGAAATTCTGCAAGGACAGAGGCGAGTGCGTCGAAGTGTTCTTTGTATTCTATGCTGCCTGTTCCCGGTACGCCTGCCAAACTGGCTTTCGAACTGAAGTTTCCCATTAGGATGATGCCGAGAGGATAGACTGGGTGGGCGTCGGTAGGATCGGGTGTATATGTGCGTAAGAGGGTACGAAGGGCAGACAATGTGGAGGGGACATCTAGATGGAGGTCTGAGGCTATGACGATGTTGTGTGCTGTGTCGGGGTCGAGGAGTTTCGATGCAATCTTGTTCATGCGAGTACCGGTCGCGCGCTGAGACCCAACGCCTAAGAAGTCTGTCCATCCGAATGCTGGTCCAGCCAAGCTGTTCTTGTCGGCCTCTTCGGCGCCCCCCAAAGTTGCTGTTCTCCGTTCACTGGGAGGGTGTCCGACTGAGAAACCTAGGAATTTGCCGCCTATCGTGCCACCAATGCCACTGCTGCCTCCTAGAGTTGATGTGGCACCAGCGTCCTCTTCGTAGCTACCCTCGACTAGAACAATCATGCCTGGTGCGAAATATGCGCCATTCTCAGGGATTGGACGAGCGTGTTGAATGTCCAAAGGAATTGTGCCTGTGAGATCGGAAAGTGAGAGCACACCAGTGGCCGAAACTGTAAGCATGCCTAGCAATAGATGTGTACTTCCAGTCCGACCAAGCAGGTTCGCGATGGGAGTGATGGTGTTCATCTGTGAGGTTGCAATGGATCCTGTGCGGCTTAGGGTAGCAGACCGCGCTGTAGAGAAGGTGGGTGCTTGGAACGTCTCGTTGCGGAGTATGCGCTGGTGTACGATGTGGTATCGCTGACGGAAGAGCTCAGTCTTGTGTTTTGGATCTGGGAAGAGTGATGGCTTCTTGGCAGATCTGTCATGGTCAGCAGATATTCAACTCTTGCTTGCTCTATGCGTACTTTTCGAAATGCTTCTGGGTAGCATTGTATATCAGCTTTGGCTGGTCGAAGGCGCCAATGACCTTCATCCACTCTCTTGGATCTTTCAGCAGATCTTCTTCTTCGTCTTTGTCTTCCACCTCCAAACTGGACATGCCGAAACTGCTGTTACTGTCCAGACTCGAGTGATTTGTCTGGCCGGCCATTTCAGGTCCAAAGTTGAAACTGGTTTGCCTACCCAGAGTCGACCCTTGTACTACTCTTCCTCCGCTCATGGAGCCTTCAAGTGTCTTCAGTATGCCTCTGAGTGTCTCATTGTCGCCTTCTACGATGACTTGACCACCGCATTTCTTCCAGCTCTTCGCAATCTCTTCCAAGACCTTCTCTGCTAAGCCTTCCTCTCTCCATCCTGATCCGCAGTGTTTCCCTACAAACGTTGCTAATGCTTGGAGGGCAGAAGATGTGAGGGTGAGGTTGTGTTTCTTCGTAAATGTCCGAAAGGCAAGCGGTCGCAATGTCGCTGGTGGAAGGAGTATAGGTAGCACAGTCGACTTTCCAACTGGCTTCAGTGCAGGCGGGGCGCGTATGGGGGCTGTTCTGCGGGGATTGATGGGATGAACGGGCGTTCCGAATGCGGGCGATGAAGATGGGATAAGATCCGAGGGTACCGCTGAGGGCTTCTCTGGTCTTCTCGAGGTCGCCATGTTGGTAGCGGTGAGGGTGAAGTTGTGCTGTGTCGCAATGTTGGCAGGCGGTCGGGATTCCACTTTACGCGTGCGACGCGTCCAGGCGCGATTTCGCGCTAGGTATGGGCTAAGCTACTTTTCCCAGCAACCACCAATCCTCCAACCCAAACACAACACTAAACATCCTTCACGCCTCCTTCATCCGCTCGAGAAGTCCGTTATTGCTATCGCGTACTCCATACAACATCTGTGAACTTGGTTAATCTCACACAATGGCCGACCCTGCGACTGAACCGCTCGCGACCGTCACTGAGACCGAGGACCTGCCCAGGACGAAAGAGAAGATGGGAGAGCTGTCGCAGGCTGCTTCTATACACTACTCCACCAAAAACTACGACGCTGCTGCCGAACACTACGCCGATGCCGTCGAAATTCAAGCTGAACTCAACGGTGAGATGGCACCGGAGAACGCTGAGCTGCTCTTCTACTACGGACGCGCGCTATACAGGTCCGCAGTCGCCAAGAGTGATGTGCTAGGCAACAAGGTGGCAACACAGGAAAAGAAGAAGAAGCAGCCCAAAGCAAAGAAGGCCGCCAAAGCAGAGGCGGGCGAGGGGTCAAGCGCCGCAAAGGCTGAGCACAAGGAGGAGTCAGTAGAGAACAAGCCATACTTCCAGCTCCAGGGCGATGAGAACTGGACCGATTCTGAGGATGAAGACGATGACATGCAGGATGGCGAGGAAGAGGAGGACGATGACGACCTCGGAAACGCGTACGAGATCTTCGAGCTAGCTCGCGTCCTCTACGAGAAGCAATTAGACTCGCCAGAAGGAGATGCCTCAGATAAGGGCAAGGGCAAAGCAGAGCTAAGTCCACGAGCACGCATCGTCAAGGAGCGTATCGCAGACTGCCACGGTTTCCTTGTTGAGATCTCGCTAGAGAACGAGCGGTTCCACGACGCCATATCAGACGCCCGCAAAGCGCTCGCCTTACAGGAGGAATTGTATCCTTTCGAACACGAGAACGTCACAGAAGCTCATTACTCGCTTTCCCTCGCGCTGGAGTTTGCATCCGTCTCTAAGGTACGAGAAGACCAGACCGGACAAACGACCGAAGAGTCCGCCAAGCAAGAACCAGGGAAAGAAGACGAAGACGGTATAAACTGGGAGCTGCGCAACGAGGCTGCTGAACAGACTGATCTTGCCATAAAGAGCCTAGAGGCACGATTGAAGAAGGAGGAGGCCGCACTCGG